TCCCCTTGCTTGGGGGGGGGGGAGGCGGGCGCGGGCCGGGGGCGGGAGAAGGGTGGGCACCCGGAATCCACTCTCTCCACTGGGGCTTCTGGGAGCCAGCAGGGCCATTTGCAACCTCCAGTGGCAGCCATTTTGGGGCTGCCCATGGTGATTTTTGACTGCCCGCCTCCACTGTGCAGCCAGGGTCCAACGCTGGATGGAACACGGAGGTACGGACAGGTGGCGGTTAGCCGATCGGGGGCACTCTCACGAAGTCCACCCGAGCACGCCCCGACCCCACCCCCCACCCCCCACCCAACCTGTCTTGAAGCCATCCCCGGCACTGGAGCCCTTGGTAGCTTGCTCCAACTGAAACAATTTCCGCTTGATGGCAGTATGGCTCCACAGAAAAGTCTTGACCTCCCCAGCCCCAGCCCCAGCCCCAGCCCCAGCTGCTCACCTCAACACCCTCTGTGCCAGGGCCTGCTTCTCTGCCAAGGTCAAAGAAGCAAACAACAACAACAAAAATCCCACAAAGCCCAAACAAAACTTAAGATCCAGTCAAGGACCGCTGCCATAGAAAAAACACAACCACCTGGGCCCCTGTTGGCGCGCGCGCACACACACGCCCACACACGCGCGCAAGCACACACACACACACACACACACACACACACACACACACACACACACGGCAAAATGACCACTGACCGGGGGGGGGGGGGGGAGGCGGGCGTCGGGCACCCTGTGCAGCCCTTTCACCCTTCCTGTCTCACCAAACCGCTTTTCTTGGCCCCTGCTCTGGGGACAGAGCCCAGCCTCTGAGACTCCGCCTGAGGTTTTGCAACAGGGTGCTCCCCAGGAAAGGGGGCGGTTCCAGTTTCCCTGGCCCACCCAAGCTTGGGAGGGTGGAGCTGAGCAGGGAGAAGAAGAGGCTGCAGAGGTGACTGAGGAAGGAAGGAAGCAGGATGGAGAGCCAGAAGGAGACCTGGAGGAGGCACATGGAGCCGAGAGACACGTGAAGAAACTGCGCTAGCCTTTTGGTCGTGGACTGGGTGACACAGATGTGGGTGAGAGACCTGTGGGGAGGTGACAAAGGCGGTTTTTGTCTTGATTTTGATTTTGCCCGTTTCCCTCCAGACTTGTCTGGTTGTTTGTGATCCTTTTCCGTGGGTCCTCACTGGAAGATGCTTTAGACTTGCGGCAGGCTCTGGGGCCTTTCTCTGGGCCAATCCTGCTTGGGTGGACTTTCACCCACGAGGGGACGGGTAACTTGGGTGCTTGATTTAGAAGCTCTATTCTTTGCCTTTCCTGTTTTGTGTCCTAATTGTATTAAAGTTCCTTCCCATTAAAGTCTCATATGTTTTGTGTTGAGGCGGCGGATGGCAGAACCTATTTAGCGCAGGCAGGTTTGCGGGGTCTGGGCTGCCCCTCTCCCTGCCCTGTCACAGTTTTACGCCAGGACCCCCCTCCCTGACAAGGGCTCGGCCACCATCCCACGTTGCCTTGCAAGTCTCTTTTAGACAGGACGGTGCTTCCTGCCCTGGCCTGGAACTTCAGCCTCTGTTCCAGGACTTGGAGTGGCCAGGTCCTGCGGCTAAGGGAGGGGGCGGTTGGGGGGTAGGAAGGGATAGACCCAGGGGGCTCCCCACATATGGGGTACCAAGCCCTCAGGCAACCACTGGCTCTGGGCAGGTTGGCCTTACTCCCATCCAGGGGTCTGGGCAAGGCCACACAACATCTCCCAGTTCCTCAGGGGGCCACACGCAAGGGCCGTGGCTCCCTGGAGGTGCGGCCCGGGCCATGCTCCAACTGGCAGTCCCCACTGCCGCAGGGTAAAGCAGGGTTGGCACCCACTGCTCAGGGCCAACCAGTTAACCGACGACTGCAAAGAATGGCAGTACCCGCGTCCCCATCTACCTGCTCCACCGCCGGGAATACCTGTATCAGATCCGTGTCTCTGCGTGTGCGTGCGCGTGCGCGTGCGCGTGCGCGTGCGCGTGCGCGGGAGGGGGGGAGGAAGGGGGGCGCATGGGTGAGAAGGGCCGGTTTGTGGGGGACCTTCTGTCCGATGCCCTTGAGTGTGTGTGCGTGCGCGCGCCCCCGCGCGTGTCCCAGTGTATTCGGTGGGGGTCCAGTGTTGAGGGGGTGGGTTTGGCAGTCGTGTTGGGGGCCGGTGTTTTGGGTGTCGATGCTCAAGAACCGCACCCTGTTGAGTGCCAGCCTCCGGAGCCCACCTGAACCTGTGGAAAGGGTAGGCGACAGGTAGGAGGCGCACAGTGAGTGAGGTGTTATGTTTAATAACTTCAATAAGGAGATGTACCGAGGGAAGGGGATGCTGTGAGCCCTTTTGCGGGGCTTCAGTTCACGGTGCTGCTGCACTGAAGTGGACCCCGTGGACCCCCTGGATCCCTGTTCTGGAGGATGAGGGTGATCTCCACCCCCGGAGGTTGAAAGCTCAGAGTGGAAGCTGGCTACCAGTGCCGCCATCTCCGTAGACCTGTGCCTGCCCCGTACCCCAGGGGCAGAGGCAGGACGCGGATCCACAGTGCTCTAGGCCGGCAAAGGCTGGAAAGTGAAAGGAAAAGAGGGAAGCGCAAAGTCACCACCGTCCACCACGCCACCGCCAACGTTGTCCTGGATCTACTCCAGGGGCACGTCACTGGCTTGGTGACATCCACAACGAGTGCCCAGGAGATGCAAGCTGCCTGGGGAGGAAAGGACGCACCCCCAGGCAGCCTCCTGCCCAAGTACCATCCAGGGTTCTGATCCAGCAGTCGGCCTCCAGGCCTCACACAGAGCAAAAGGAGAGCCTGAGCCCCACCCCTGACGATGGAATGGGCACACTCCCCAGGACCCAAGTGCCAGGCTACGGAGGGAGGGCCGCGGGGAACGGCTGGAGGTTGAAAGCCAAGGCAGGGGTAAAGGGACAAGAGAGGGAGGAGTTAAACTCAGATGGTGTTCGCAAGGGGTGGCACACAGACAAACTCCCCCAGGTCAGGAGGAGTGGGGTGGGAGGGGTGTGGGGAGGAAGGGGTTGGATGGGACCGGTTCCTTTGGGTTTCCACAGGGGACAGAAAAGTTGATTCTCCGCGAAAGAACCTCCACCCAGCATCCAGCACCAGCAACCTCACCCCCCCCCCGACCCCCCCACTCACCCATCCCTGCCACCCCCCCACCCCTCCTCCCCACCCTCCCACTCAACCGCCTTACTCCCTCCCCATCACACCCCCACCCCGCAAACCCCCCTCCTCCAGCAGAGGGACTTCCACAACCTGAACTGAAAGTAAGGCGCTATTAAGTGAAGGCCACACAGAACACAAAGAAAGAGACGTGGCGGAGGGAAAAGCTTGAACCTGACTGTGATCTCCGAAGATCCCCTGGCCCAGCGGACCCACGGAATCCGCCAAGGCTCCCTGTGGCCTCCCAGAGGAAGAACCAGCAGGCAAGGCCCAGGCCCCGTCTGGGCCACTTAGGCAAGGGGTTGCGCCTTGACCAGAGTCGTGGGCTGGGGGGCGGAGGAGGGGGCGGTGCCCTGCTGGGCTGCGCTGCACTGCCCAAGCGGGAAGTGGAAGGAAGGACACAAAGTTGCCCTAACAGGGCCGCACAAAAGGGAGTGAGGGAGGGCGAAGGTCCAGGTCCAGCGGGCCTTGCCTAGAGGACACCCTGTGTGTCTCACTGAGGGCAGCCCCACGCCCCCGTTCACCTGAAACTCCCGGTGTCTAGCTGCCTGAGTACACGCAAAGAAGGCATCGGCGAAGGCAGGGAGAGGTGTGAAGTGACGCACCCAAGTGTGCCAAGCGTGTAGTAAGATGACCCCTTGATGCTGAGTGTTTGGCTCCCGGCACTCGCTGGCCCCCATGCCTGCCCCTCATTCTCCCGGCATTTTCCCCAGGCAAGCTTGGGATGAGCCAGGAGGCCTAACAACACCCGGCAGAGATCCCACCCCAGGTCCAACTTGACAGAGGCCAGTGGCGACCTTAAGCTACTGCTGAGTCCCTGAATTCCTGCCACGTGGATATTTCTCTCCGATGGAGTTCTACATGCCCAGGGAGACTTGTCAAAAGCCGAGAGAGGCACGGGTTTGGGAAACTCTACAAGGCATCTGCATGGGGATCCACTTCGCCCTCCAAGCTCCAGGGTGATGGTGGTGGTGGAGGTGGCGAGGGGTGGGGCGAGGGGGCAGGGCTGGTGGGGGGAGAGTGGGGAGGAGGAGGAGGTGCTGGTGGTGCTAGTGGTGCTGGTGGCGCTGGTGGTAGTGGGAGCACACACAGGTCCTTCAACAATCACACCAAGGTGACCACTGGTTTGCTTTGCATCTCGATCTGCTCCTTTACGGGGTGGGTGGGGGTGGGGGTGGGGCTGCTTATCCCGGGTTTCCCCAAGGCTGCCTGGAGACCTGGCCCGGCCTTGAGGGGCTCAGACTTTCCTGAGAAGAGGTGGTGGTTCTTTAGTGGGAACCCATACTTTTCGCTTGCGCGATCCCATTTGCTTTCCTGGCAGAATAGCGGGCCAGCACCAGAGGTTAGTAGGTTCAGAAGCATGGAGAGCTACACGGGGAAACAAGCCCCAGCCTCAGGCCACCCCAACCTGAAACCCTGCCAAGCCAACCCCTCCCACCAACTTTCTGGTTAGTGGGCCCTGCAAACCCCAAGGGATCCCCTTCCCCCTCCACTGCCGGCCCCCCAACCTGCACCCTCTCCTCTAGGGACAAAAAGTCACAGGGGACAAGGGAAGACAGAGCAAGACACCAAGACCTGGCTGGGCTGCCAACTAGCCTGTGGGTACAAACGCCTGGATGCAAAATTGGGAACACATGGATTCCAGCCAGGACACACGGGACGCCAAGCGGCCTGCTCGGAGACCCACTTGTGTAACCCCTCCCGTTCCGAGAAGGCCCACCCCTGGGCACAAAGCAGTGCCCTTGCCCCACTACCCTTCCCCCCCACCCCCCACCCCGCCCCGCCGGCTGCCAGGGTGCCACCCAGGGAGTAGCTGAAGGCCTCTGGGGCCTGCCGATATCCTGCAGCATGACCTCTTTCTGCAGGGCGGGTCAACAGTTTCTGGACCCCGGTAAGACCTGGCCGCCTCTGACCTATTCTTTGGCCCCCTGAGCATCGCGGCTTCAGAACCAGGGATGATCCTGCTGCCTGGGAACGGGTGCTGTGCTGACCAGCAAGAGGCCAGGAGCACCGAGGCTAGCAAAGACAGCCTTGCCAGATTATTCCTGCAGGTTGGCCCCAAAGTGGCCAGGTGGGTGGTTTTGGAGCACAGGTCAAGGTGAGGGGTGAGGTCCTAGGCCCCTGTGTTCTGTGACTCTGTGAGGTAGCTTTTGTTACCTTTCCTTTCCATTCTCTCTGTCCCAGCGACTGTGTCTTTCACTCTTGCCCTCACTCTTGTCTCTGCCTCCCAGCCAAGAGAGGGAGAACAGAGCCTGGTGGGGTGGGGGTGGGGGGCAGGGAAAAGGGGCGAGTCTCATTTCTGGAGCCACAGTGCCATCCAGCGGAACCTGAATGTGCACACGCCGGGCAGCAGGGAAGCGCCTTCTGCCAGGCACAGGGGCCAGCGGTGGAGGTGCTGGGCTGACCGGGCTCTGTCTTCAGAGGCCCTGAGGGAAGCAGCCCTGCCTGCGGGACCATGTGGGGGAACACGGGACCACCACTGCGGGCCCTGGGAAACAGCAGGCAGTCCCCTTACCACACAGCGCTGGGGCGTGGGGGTGGTGGGGTCTGAGCTTCCTTGTCAGCCATCTTGGGGTGGGCCCTGGGAAGCAACTCACCGCTGGCTGCAGGGACTGGAGCTGTTTTCCTCCGCTGACCCAGGAGGAACATTCTGCCTGGAGCTCCCCTTGCTTGGGGGGGGGGGAGGCGGGCGCGGGCCGGGGGCGGGAGAAGGGTGGGCACCCGGAATCCACTCTCTCCACTGGGGCTTCTGGGAGCCAGCAGGGCCATTTGCAACCTCCAGTGGCAGCCATTTTGGGGCTGCCCATGGTGATTTTTGACTGCCCGCCTCCACTGTGCAGCCAGGGTCCAACGCTGGATGGAACACGGAGGTACGGACAGGTGGCGGTTAGCCGATCGGGGGCACTCTCACGAAGTCCACCCGAGCACGCCCCGACCCCACCCCCCACCCCCCACCCAACCTGTCTTGAAGCCATCCCCGGCACTGGAGCCCTTGGTAGCTTGCTCCAACTGAAACAATTTCCGCTTGATGGCAGTATGGCTCCACAGAAAAGTCTTGACCTCCCCAGCCCCAGCCCCAGCCCCAGCCCCAGCTGCTCACCTCAACACCCTCTGTGCCAGGGCCTGCTTCTCTGCCAAGGTCAAAGAAGCAAACAACAACAACAAAAATCCCACAAAGCCCAAACAAAACTTAAGATCCAGTCAAGGACCGCTGCCATAGAAAAAACACAACCACCTGGGCCCCTGTTGGCGCGCGCGCACACACACGCCCACACACGCGCGCAAGCACACACACACACACACACACACACACACACACACACACACACACACACACACACGGCAAAATGACCACTGACCGGGGAGGGGGGGGGGAGGCGGGCGTCGGGCACCCTGTGCAGCCCTTTCACCCTTCCTGTCTCACCAAACCGCTTTTCTTGGCCCCTGCTCTGGGGACAGAGCCCAGCCTCTGAGACTCCGCCTGAGGTTTTGCAACAGGGTGCTCCCCAGGAAAGGGGGCGGTTCCAGTTTCCCTGGCCCACCCAAGCTTGGGAGGGTGGAGCTGAGCAGGGAGAAGAAGAGGCTGCAGAGGTGACTGAGGAAGGAAGGAAGCAGGATGGAGAGCCAGAAGGAGACCTGGAGGAGGCACATGGAGCCGAGAGACACGTGAAGAAACTGCGCTAGCCTTTTGGTCGTGGACTGGGTGACACAGATGTGGGTGAGAGACCTGTGGGGAGGTGACAAAGGCGGTTTTTGTCTTGATTTTGATTTTGCCCGTTTCCCTCCAGACTTGTCTGGTTGTTTGTGATCCTTTTCCGTGGGTCCTCACTGGAAGATGCTTTAGACTTGCGGCAGGCTCTGGGGCCTTTCTCTGGGCCAATCCTGCTTGGGTGGACTTTCACCCACGAGGGGACGGGTAACTTTGGGTGCTTGATTTAGAAGCTCTATTCTTTGCCTTTCCTGTTTTGTGTCCTAATTGTATTAAAGTTCCTTCCCATTAAAGTCTCATATGTTTTGTGTTGAGGCGGCGGATGGCAGAACCTATTTAGCGCAGGCAGGTTTGCGGGGTCTGGGCTGCCCCTCTCCCTGCCCTGTCACAGTTTTACGCCAGGACCCCCCTCCCTGACAAGGGCTCGGCCACCATCCCACGTTGCCTTGCAAGTCTCTTTTAGACAGGACGGTGCTTCCTGCCCTGGCCTGGAACTTCAGCCTCTGTTCCAGGACTTGGAGTGGCCAGGTCCTGCGGCTAAGGGAGGGGGCGGTTGGGGGGTAGGAAGGGATAGACCCAGGGGGCTCCCCACATATGGGGTACCAAGCCCTCAGGCAACCACTGGCTCTGGGCAGGTTGGCCTTACTCCCATCCAGGGGTCTGGGCAAGGCCACACAACATCTCCCAGTTCCTCAGGGGGCCACACGCAAGGGCCGTGGCTCCCTGGAGGTGCGGCCCGGGCCATGTTCCAATTTGCAGTCCCCACTGCCGCAGGGTAAAGCAGGGTTGGCACCCACTGCTCAGGGCCAACCAGTTAACCGACGACTGCAAAGAATGGCAGTACCCGCGTCCCCATCTACCTGCTCCACCGCCGGGAATACCTGTATCAGATCCGTGTCTCTGCGTGTGCGTGCGCGTGCGCGTGCGCGTGCGCGTGCGCGGGAGGGGGGGAGGAAGGGGGGCGCATGGGTGAGAAGGGCCGGTTTGTGGGGGACCTTCTGTCCGATGCCCTTGAGTGTGTGTGCGTGCGCGCGCCCCCGCGCGTGTCCCAGTGTATTCGGTGGGGGTCCAGTGTTGAGGGGTGGGTTTGGCAGTCGTGTTGGGGGCCGGTGTTTTGGGTGTCGATGCTCAAGAACCGCACCCTGTTGAGTGCCAGCCTCCGGAGCCCACCTGAACCTGTGGAAAGGGTAGGCGACAGGTAGGAGGCGCACAGTGAGTGAGGTGTTATGTTTAATAACTTCAATAAGGAGATGTACCGAGGGAAGGGGATGCTGTGAGCCCTTTTGCGGGGCTTCAGTTCACGGTGCTGCTGCACTGAAGTGGACCCCGTGGACCCCCTGGATCCCTGTTCTGGAGGATGAGGGTGATCTCCACCCCCGGAGGTTGAAAGCTCAGAGTGGAAGCTGGCTACCAGTGCCGCCATCTCCGTAGACCTGTGCCTGCCCCGTACCCCAGGGGCAGAGGCAGGACGCGGATCCACAGTGCTCTAGGCCGGCAAAGGCTGGAAAGTGAAAGGAAAAGAGGGAAGCGCAAAGTCACCACCGTCCACCACGCCACCGCCAACGTTGTCCTGGATCTACTCCAGGGGCACGTCACTGGCTTGGTGACATCCACAACGAGTGCCCAGGAGATGCAAGCTGCCTGGGGAGGAAAGGACGCACCCCCAGGCAGCCTCCTGCCCAAGTACCATCCAGGGTTCTGATCCAGCAGTCGGCCTCCAGGCCTCACACAGAGCAAAAGGAGAGCCTGAGCCCCACCCTGACGATGGAATGGGCACACTCCCCAGGACCCAAGTGCCAGGCTACGGAGGGAGGGCCGCGGGGAACGGCTGGAGGTTGAAAGCCAAGGCAGGGGTAAAGGGACAAGAGAGGGAGGAGTTAAACTCAGATGGTGTTCGCAAGGGGTGGCACACAGACAAACTCCCCCAGGTCAGGAGGAGTGGGGTGGGAGGGGTGTGGGGGGAGGAAGGGGTTGGATGGGACCGGTTCCTTTGGGTTTCCACAGGGGACAGAAAAGTTGATTCTCCGCGAAAGAACCTCCACCCAGCATCCAGCACCAGCAACCTCACCCCCCCCCCGACCCCCCCACTCACCCATCCCTGCCACCCCCCCACCCCTCCTCCCCACCCTCCCACTCAACCGCCTTACTCCCTCCCCATCACACCCCCACCCCGCAAACCCCCCTCCTCCAGCAGAGGGACTTCCACAACCTGAACTGAAAGTAAGGCGCTATTAAGTGAAGGCCACACAGAACACAAAGAAAGAGACGTGGCGGAGGGAAAAGCTTGAACCTGACTGTGATCTCCGAAGATCCCCTGGCCCAGCGGACCCACGGAATCCGCCAAGGCTCCCTGTGGCCTCCCAGAGGAAGAACCAGCAGGCAAGGCCCAGGCCCCGTCTGGGCCACTTAGGCAAGGGGTTGCGCCTTGACCAGAGTCGTGGGCTGGGGGGGCGGAGGAGGGGGCGGTGCCCTGCTGGGCTGCGCTGCACTGCCCAAGCGGGAAGTGGAAGGAAGGACACAAAGTTGCCCTAACAGGGCCGCACAAAAGGGAGTGAGGGAGGGCGAAGGTCCAGGTCCAGCGGGCCTTGCCTAGAGGACACCCTGTGTGTCTCACTGAGGGCAGCCCCACGCCCCCGTTCACCTGAAACTCCCGGTGTCTAGCTGCCTGAGTACACGCAAAGAAGGCATCGGCGAAGGCAGGGAGAGGTGTGAAGTGACGCACCCAAGTGTGCCAAGCGTGTAGTAAGATGACCCCTTGATGCTGAGTGTTTGGCTCCCGGCACTCGCTGGCCCCCATGCCTGCCCCTCATTCTCCCGGCATTTTCCCCAGGCAAGCTTGGGATGAGCCAGGAGGCCTAACAACACCCGGCAGAGATCCCACCCCAGGTCCAACTTGACAGAGGCCAGTGGCGACCTTAAGCTACTGCTGAGTCCCTGAATTCCTGCCACGTGGATATTTCTCTCCGATGGAGTTCTACATGCCCAGGGAGACTTGTCAAAAGCCGAGAGAGGCACGGGTTTGGGAAACTCTACAAGGCATCTGCATGGGGATCCACTTCGCCCTCCAAGCTCCAGGGTGATGTGGTGGTGGAGGTGGCGAGGGGTGGGGCGAGGGGGCAGGGCTGGTGGGGGGAGAGTGGGGAGGAGGAGGAGGAGGTGCTGGTGGTGCTAGTGGTGCTGGTGGCGCTGGTGGTAGTGGGAGCACACACAGGTCCTTCAACAATCACACCAAGGTGACCACTGGTTTGCTTTGCATCTCGATCTGCTCCTTTACGGGGTGGGGGTGGGGGTGGGGGTGGGGCTGCTTATCCCGGGTTTCCCCAAGGCTGCCTGGAGACCTGGCCCGGCCTTGAGGGGCTCAGACTTTCCTGAGAAGAGGTGGTGGTTCTTTAGTGGGAACCCATACTTTTCGCTTGCGCGATCCCATTTGCTTTCCTGGCAGAATAGCGGGCCAGCACCAGAGGTTAGTAGGTTCAGAAGCATGGAGAGCTACACGGGGAAACAAGCCCCAGCCTCAGGCCACCCCAACCTGAAACCCTGCCAAGCCAACCCCTCCCACCAACTTTCTGGTTAGTGGGCCCTGCAAACCCCAAGGGATCCCCTTCCCCCTCCACTGCCGGCCCCCCAACCTGCACCCTCTCCTCTAGGGACAAAAAGTCACAGGGGACAAGGGAAGACAGAGCAAGACACCAAGACCTGGCTGGGCTGCCAACTAGCCTGTGGGTACAAACGCCTGGATGCAAAATTGGGAACACATGGATTCCAGCCAGGACACACGGGACGCCAAGCGGCCTGCTCGGAGACCCACTTGTGTAACCCCTCCCGTTCCGAGAAGGCCCACCCCTGGGCACAAAGCAGTGCCCTTGCCCCACTACCCTTCCCCCCCACCCCCCACCCCGCCCCCGCCGGCTGCCAGGGTGCCACCCAGGGAGGTAGCTGAAGGCCTCTGGGGCCTGCCGATATCCTGCAGCATGACCTCTTTCTGCAGGGCGGGTCAACAGTTTCTGGACCCCGGTAAGACCTGGCCGCCTCTGACCTATTCTTTGGCCCCTGAGCATCGCGGCTTCAGAACCAGGGATGATCCTGCTGCCTGGGAACGGGTGCTGTGCTGACCAGCAAGAGGCCAGGAGCACCGAGGCTAGCAAAGACAGCCTTGCCAGATTATTCCTGCAGGTTGGCCCCAAAGTGGCCAGGTGGGTGGTTTTGGAGCACAGGTCAAGGTGAGGGGTGAGGTCCTAGGCCCCTGTGTTCTGTGACTCTGTGAGGTAGCTTTTGTTACCTTTCCTTTCCATTCTCTCTGTCCCAGCGACTGTGTCTTTCACTCTTGCCCTCACTCTTGTCTCTGCCTCCCAGCCAAGAGAGGGAGAACAGAGCCTGGTGGGGTGGGGGTGGGGGGCAGGGAAAAGGGGCGAGTCTCATTTCTGGAGCCACAGTGCCATCCAGCGGAACCTGAATGTGCACACGCCGGGCAGCAGGGAAGCGCCTTCTGCCAGGCACAGGGGCCAGCGGTGGAGGTGCTGGGCTGACCGGGCTCTGTCTTCAGAGGCCCTGAGGGAAGCAGCCCTGCCTGCGGGACCATGTGGGGGAACACGGGACCACCACTGCGGGCCCTGGGAAACAGCAGGCAGTCCCCTTACCACACAGCGCTGGGGCGTGGGGGTGGTGGGGTCTGAGCTTCCTTGTCAGCCATCTTGGGGTGGGCCCTGGGAAGCAACTCACCGCTGGCTGCAGGGACTGGAGCTGTTTTCCTCCGCTGACCCAGGAGGAACATTCTGCCTGGAGCTCCCCTTGCTTGGGGGGGGGGGAGGCGGGCGCGGGCCGGGGGCGGGAGAAGGGTGGGCACCCGGAATCCACTCTCTCCACTGGGGCTTCTGGGAGCCAGCAGGGCCATTTGCAACCTCCAGTGGCAGCCATTTTGGGGCTGCCCATGGTGATTTTTGACTGCCCGCCTCCACTGTGCAGCCAGGGTCCAACGCTGGATGGAACACGGAGGTACGGACAGGTGGCGGTTAGCCGATCGGGGGCACTCTCACGAAGTCCACCCGAGCACGCCCCGACCCCACCCCCCACCCCCCACCCAACCTGTCTTGAAGCCATCCCCGGCACTGGAGCCCTTGGTAGCTTGCTCCAACTGAAACAATTTCCGCTTGATGGCAGTATGGCTCCACAGAAAAGTCTTGACCTCCCCAGCCCCAGCCCCAGCCCCAGCCCCAGCTGCTCACCTCAACACCCTCTGTGCCAGGGCCTGCTTCTCTGCCAGGTCAAAGAAGCAAACAACAACAACAAAAATCCCACAAAGCCCAAACAAAACTTAAGATCCAGTCAAGGACCGCTGCCATAGAAAAAACACAACCACCTGGGCCCCTGTTGGCGCGCGCGCACACACACGCCCACACACGCGCGCACACACACACACACACACACACACACACACACACACACACACACACACACACGGCAAAATGACCACTGACCGGGGAGGGGGGGGGGAGGCGGGCGTCGGGCACCCTGTGCAGCCCTTTCACCCTTCCTGTCTCACCAAACCGCTTTTCTTGGCCCCTG